TTTCAAGTTTTATTTGCTGTGGGCTTTTCTCTGCAGCCTCTTGATCTCGTTATCTGAACCTCACAGGCTGCATTGCCCAGCGAGACCTTGGTATCGACTGACTTGCAAAGCTGGGTGTTTCTGCTGCCTGTGGGGGTAATGTGGAAAAGGGAAGTTAACTTGTATTTTCAACTCTCGGGAGCTTCAGGTGTCATCTGAGATCGTGCTGTGCTGCATGATGTGTAACTGTAGAACAGATGGTGTCTCTTGCCCACAAAGCCCAAAGTTGCCCCACAGAAAAAGCCATCCCAAAAGGCTTAAATTAATTGCTTCTGGAATACTCCAAGTGTGGAAATTTTGTCTACTTAAGAATAACAATGAGACAGAAGGAAATGATAGTGAAAAGAATAACACTATGAAAAACTTTGGAGTATATCCTACTGATGGACAATTTAACCTTCAAGCAGCTTTGCACAGAGAGTTTAAGTTCAGCAGATGAAAAGCAAATTTAAATCCCCTGAGTCCTCACTAATTACACCACAATGAGTAGCTATAGAAACATCAATGCAAAATGTGATTTGAACACAGCAGGACTACTGAGCCATCTTTTTGTATGCAGATTGAGACATTTGCATTTATGGCTCTCAAAACAACTGTAGCAGGGCCCCTTTCTGGAAGAGTTTAGTGGTGTTTGTATGCAAGAGCTCTTTGGTGCCCTTGGTATCTTAACTGCCCTGGTTCTCTCTGCAAGCTCACAGATTTATTTATTTATTTTGAACTCAGGAAGACTGTGAGAACGGTGCACTCTAAGGTGCTTGTTATTGCTGCCTTGCTCTTTTGAGCTCTCTTACACCATTCCAGCTGGTGAAAAGGGCTTATTGACTTTAATAAAGACTGCAGGATCAGACCCTGAGTAATTTAAAAAAAAAAGAAAAACTGCGTCGGATAGATGCACTTTGACTTAATGTATGTATGTATCTGTCTCTGTGTATCGATCTGTTGGAGAAAGGAATCATCTGTAGTGAACAGAACGGACAAAAGAATGTTGCTATGGAGATGAAAACTGAAATTATATCAGTTATATAAATAATATTAAAAAAAGTTGTGCATTCTAAGAGATGGACTTGGAAAGGATGTGCTGAGGTGATTAATTAAATTGTCTGTTTCCTTGAGGATTTTTCCACATCCAGGATGAGTTTGGGGACAACTGAAATTCATTTTGCTCCAATGCAGGGAAGACTTTCTGATAGCACTAGCTTATTGTAGTCTTGCATTCCTGTTTAATTCCCTTCTGTCTTCATCACTTTCCACCTCTTCGGTTCCTTCTTTGTATTTCAGATCTCTTGCAGCCTTCCCTTTGTTTTGAAAGGCTTCATGAAAAGCGCATCTGTTGTAGGATCTCTGTGTACAGTCCCGTAGTAGGACATTCTCACCTGTGGAAATAATTGAAAGCGTGGTGTTTGCAGGGCACTCTGTTGATTTGTGCAGCAGAGGAGGTTGGCTGTGCCATTCCTTGCTGCAGGATGATTCCAGGAGTGTGTTAGTGCAGTTAGACAGTGAGAAAGTTTTACATGCATGCATTGTGAACAGCCTTTCACATGCAAGTCTTTCTGTCAAGTTACAGGAGAACCTGAGTCCTAGAAGAGGGAAGACTAATTTGCAAAAAAAGTATAAATGTGCTTTGAACAATGTTAAGGCAGTGAAGCTTTAATTTTACCCGTAGAATTTAAGCTGTAAAATGTTATGGATTTGATTCAAAGTGTTGGAAAATATGTTCTTAACCTGGAGTGTGTTCCCTCAGAAATGTTGCTGGTACCGTGGCCAGACCTCACAATGTCACGTTGCTGGTAGCAGGATCCTGTGGTCCCTGGTCTGACTGATCCTTTTGTTCAGAATCCGTTCTGATGTAGCTTCCTATAGACTGTGATCAAGTTACCTTTTTGTGTTTACCTAAGAGTTATTACCTGCATTGTTCTCTGGTGAAGAACAGTGAAGGTTCACTTCTAGGTGAAGCTTGTTTCCTGCTTTTTCATTTTTAAAAAAAGTAGGGTTCCATTTTATACTTCTCCCCAGCTGTGTTTGTGGAGATGTGTGGAACTGACAGATGTAATTGCTGCCTGTTTGACGCTGTCTCTGCTGTCAGCCGTCCGTGTCGGTGGGAGATCCCCTTCCCTTTCCCAAGCAGTGCTGGGTGCCGCTTGTTTGTGCTGATCTGAGACAGTCTCCTCTGAGGTGATCTGATGGAGCGTTCTCTCTGTAGTGTGTGGAGTGATCCCAGAGCTTCAGTGTGATCTGCAGGCCCTGGTCACGCTCTCCTCCACAGCTCTGCAGCGTCCTCTGATCACCTCTTGCTTGGTGTGATCGTGGTTGCAGGCTCTGTGAGCTGGGGCTGCTCCCTGAGCATGCTGGCAACGTGATCCCTGTGGACACCTGTCATCCCAAGGTGTGTTGGTGTGCAAGTACTGGGTCCTGTAGTACAAAGGTACTGGATGAGGGCTGCTGAGTTGACTTGTCTGTGTAGTGTGGCAGGAAGAACATGGGTCATTCATGGAATAAAGGGTGATTGTTCAAGTCCTGCTGGATTGGCACTGAACATCTCAAGGTAGAACAATTCAACTTGGTGATCCATAACTAACGCTAGGGTATGTGTAACATTCCTTGTAACAAATTTTGTTGATGCCTTTACCCCTATGGACTTGACTGATTTGCTGCAAATCTTAGTTGAGAGCAAACTGGGCTTGTGATGTAGGTGACTGTGGTGGTGGTGGTGCCAACACCCCGTTTTGCTCCTCAGTGCTGGTTTTATTCAGTGGTGTAGATGCAGCCAATAAAGATGAGGTGCTGTTCTGAGAAAAGGGGAAGCTTTTAAGGCTTGATAGCTTCCCTGTGCCCTGCTGACTTGTGTCTTTGACACGTTGTGTGGGAGACGAGCTGTATTTGATTTCCAGCTGAACTGCTAGGATTCTGGGGGACTGTGGGATGTTACCCCTTAGGCTGCAGTTTACCCTGTTCAGAGACAAGCATAATGCTACTTACTTCAGTCTGTACAGTGCTTTCAGATCTGCTAAAAGGGGCTGTTTAAGGTATGGCAGCTTTGTGACAGAGGCCTGCAAATGGGTGTGAGAGCTCAGAGGACCTGTGCAATTAGTAAATACAGCTAGGTGAGTAATTTGAAGTTCTTAGCAATGCTGTAATAGCCTGTGTTTGAGGTAAAGGGTAGCTGTTGAGGTTTCATGTTGTCAAAAACCATTAGGCTTTTTTTGCCTTGCTCTGTTTTGTAGGTTACTATCATTTGCATGTCACCCTGAAAGCATCACTTGATGTCTGCTCTTCAGAAGGCTTCAGATGCTGTTACTGATCTTTATCTCTGCTTGTCCCACCCCGTCTCACAGTGGTTTGCCGTTATTTGACCTTCTACTGTGCACATAAAATTTATTACTGAGAAGTGATGCATGACTGTGCAAAGAGACTGAGTTCTGAATTAGATACCCTTGAAATTTCAGTGACCTGGATTTGAGATCTGGAGGGGATACTTCTGTCTCTTCAGCTTTTTCATCCTGGTGTTTAAGAACATCAGTTGTTTGTCCAGACAAAGTGTTTGTAGAGGCTGTTTCGAGTGGGTCATATCACCATAGAAAATAAAAAGAGGTGGAAAGGAGAATGTGGAAGATCATTCCTGAGATGAGCTCAGTTGGTTATGGTGCTGATAACAGCAAGGTTGTGGGTTTGATCCCCCCATAGGCCATTGACTTAAGAGTTGGACTCCATCCTTGTGGGTCCCTTCCAACTCAGAATATTCTGTGAACTGTGATCCGTAGATGAAAGCCTTCCCTTAGCCTTGCTTTCTTTTTTTTTTTTTTAATAGTTCTTGTGACAGAGCTCTTGGCAGGAGAACTGAAGAGGAGAACACCTTTTTGCAGCAGAGAGGGACAAGCGCTGAGATCAAAGGGAATGAGCAGGGCTGAAATCCTCCACTCTGGAGGAGCAGGTTGCGCCCTTCCACAGTTGGCTGATCACAGGGAGTGCTGCCAAGGGTGGGTGGGAAAACCCTTACCCATATCCCTTGTCCTTTCAGGGGAAAACGAGCAGACTCATAGGGGCAGGCTTAGCACAGTGTTTCCTTGTTTGCTCATATCTTTGGCTGATGGCAACAGCCCGCGAGAAGTTGATGTGCCAGCCTGCATTTTCCTTTCCCAAATCAGAATTGGAGTGTGCTGATAGAAATTCGTGGGAGCTTACACAACCTAAGCAGCAAGATTGCTCCTTGCCAGCTCATGATCAGTGAGGTGCCCATCTGTGAGGGAGCACCGTGCACCGCTCGATGTTTGTTTGTTGGAGGGGAGCTGCTGCTGTGCACAGAAACTGCCCCAGTGCTGGCAGCCTTCTGCTCCTGCCATGTGCCAGGCAAAATTTTCTCCACACCCTCTTCAGTACTTGCTGTTGAAGGTGCTGGCTGTGCTGTGGGGGCTGTTGAAGTGGTCAGTGGTCAGTTCAGGGCAGCAATGATGAGGCGGGTTTGCCGAACCTTGGGGAAATCGGGGAGTTGATTTGAAGCCTGGGCTCCAGTTTTGAGAGTGGCTTGTACACGTTCTGCATGCTGTGAGAATCCTTGAAGCCTGCAGGGTAGGGTAGTGCAGGGATTTGATTTTAATTCGGGGATCCTAAATACCCTGAGCATATTATATGGGGTTATTTTTTCCCCCCCCTGTCTGGAGTTTGTTTGAGCAGATCAGACAGAAGTCTTAGACAGTAACTGATGTAATTGCAGTTATTAGACTTCAGGCTTATGATGGAGAATGCAAAGACCAATACCTGGCAGCATTTTTAGAGTCGTGTTCTGGTGGTGCAGCAAAATGAGCGTGTTCTTGATCATGAGGAGGTCAGGAACAATTCAGTATTCCTGACAACCACAACCAAGAATCGCAGTCTTTTTGGGAGACAAAGCTGTCAGTCTGTGGATGTCCTATGAACTTTTTTCAATTCAGCAAAAGTTATGCTAGTTTTTTTCCTTTTTTTTGCAGCAATGCTGAGTGACAATAACTCTTTGAAGCTGAAAAGTGATCGTTCACCTCCTGTGCAATGGTGTGAGGTGGCTGCACATGAAGATGAGAAGACCAAGCTGGTTTTTAAAAGGTACTTGCAAGTAAGTGTCATTGTCACAGGAACATAGGGGTCAGTTGTTCTTCCTGTAGCCTGGACAGTTACAAAAAGGATGCAGAAATCAAGGCATGAGGTTGGATGGAGCTTTCCCTGGGGCATTGAAAACACTTTGAAGAGCCTGAGCTCACTCATTGCAGTACCTGTTTTTTCTGAGCCAAAGTGGGATTCTAGTGCTTTGTTCACAGGTATTTCCAGTTCTTTTTTTGTATCCAGAAAAGTTCCATTGTCAAGGCTTTGAAGGCCAGCAGATGCTGTGTGGGCATTTTGGGGAGGTGTTTCCTCATAGTTACTTTGTTTATGAAGACTTCTGAAATGCTGCATTAAAAATCTTACTCCATTGTTTATAACTTGACATCAAATTGTACTTAATGTGTGCCCATGTACATTCAGAACCATATTTTACACCAAAAAAGTTCACTACTCTCATGCCACATGAATCAGTAGATCAAAAATATAGATAGTCAATGTCATTCAGTTTTAAAGTTTTTTTGGTTTTGTTTTGTTTTTTTTCTTTCTTTCTTCTGCATGTTTTGGGGGTGTCAATAACCAAGTCAGGCTTCTCAGTATAAACCTGAGCACCTAAATTCTGCACTGTGGCCTGCCAGTGAGTTGAAAGTTTTGTTTCAGTGGTCGCCATTGGCCCAAAATCATGCAATTTGAAGTTCCATTCTTCTTTTTGTCTTGCATGAAAATACATAATCCAAGATAGAGTTGCCCTTTATGGAAGAAAACAAAACTCACTCTCGGTTTCTTTTTGTGAGGAGAGCTGTTTGACTCATCAGAGCATTTCAAGCATATAATGCAAGCAACGTGTTCCTTATCAAAGCATCTACATATGTTCCTACTTTCCTGCAGATAGCTCTGAAGAGTTGTGAAAGATTTGGAGTGAACAAAAGCAATAGGGTTTTTTTGTTTGGTTCAAATGCAAGTATTCACCTGTCTTAAATTTGCTTAAAGATAATTGATTTAATGGTTGATTGAACACTGGGAAAAAAAAAGATTATTTTTTGTTCCTCTCTCCTACCTCTCACCCTCCTGTTTGTTTTTAGAGTTCTTGTACTCTTTGTGGTCGGAGGGTGCTTCCTTTATATCCTCAAATTACATTTTGGCCCTGAAGAATGTGACAGAACAAAAATGCCGTATGTGGACCTCGGTCGTGTAAGGGTTGGTATTTTTTGGCTTGTTTTTTTTTTCCACTTGGAATAAAAAAAAAAAAAAGTTATTAATTGTCAGTGGAAGAGTAATAGGACTCTACAACAAAGAAATACAATGCTGACATTATCCTGCGAGGGAAAATATATTATGCTTCATTTCTTGCCACAGAACTTCTGGGTTTTGTTCTTGTGGAATGATAACAGAAGTGCATAGAGAAACTGGATTTTTAAGGGTAAAACGATGTAATCGTGACTTTAACGTTTGAAATGGGCGTGTCATCCTGCTGTTGTGTCAGTGCAGATAACACTGGTGATCAGAAAACTGATGAAAATGAAAAGTAACGTATTAAAAAAACTCCACACAACAGCAACCCAAGCCCAACACAAATAGTTGTTTGGTTGTTTGTTTTTGCCTCAGCCATCTGCCTGGTCTGCTTTGACTTATAGTTGGTCAGATGTTTTTGTAATCACAGGGCAAATGTGCGTGAGGGTGCACTATTATTTAATTTATTCATTTAAGGTAGCAGCATGTACTTTATCTGCAGTTTTGGACATGCCTTTTAAGCCAATGCAACAGACACCACTAAAGGCTTTGCTACTTAATCTGATTTCACTTCATAACAGAACTTACCTGGCTTAGAGCTGTTACATTTCTGGCTTTGAATATCTCAATGCTAAGACACAAATTTCAGCAGAAGCTACTGTGTGTGAATCTTCCCCCACATTGCATCATCTTCAGTGCACGTATTTCCCCTTCTGAGCCTCTTTGCTTCCCCTTTTCTTCTCATTTGATTTATTTATTTTTTCAGTAACATATTCTTGATTCTTTAGAGCAAACACCTTAAGCCAAGCAAACCTGAAGACTGCAGGGGCTGCGCTTATTGCTGTCTCATGATTCATTTTGTTTGTCTTAGGTGCAGGATGAAGAAAGGCAATGGTCTAGTTAGGTAATAGCTAATTACAAACTGTTTGGGGCAATTGGCATGTGATTGGCATTAACTTTTACTGATAGGTGTCAACCTTAAAAATGAGGCTCTTCCAAAGATACACTGAGTCCTGCCAACAAAGTACAGCAACACAAAGTTGCTCAGTTGTGCTTTGCCTTGTGTGGTGTTTATGCCTGAGCTTGCAGAAAAGTTCTGGGTGGTAAAGGCAGTTCTGTAGAGCAGCACAACTTCCCCCCTTGTGCACCCAGATAAGCACTTCCTGTTCCTTAACAGTACAGGAGAACTAAATTAGCACTAGACTTGAATCTTTGCACTCTGTGTTTGCTCATGCTTCTTTTAATTACAGAGGAGGAAAACCCAGCAGAGGTTATTGGGGAAGATAACATGAAAACAAGATTTTATTTAATGGATAAAAGTAACACTTTTTTTGTTTCTCTTCTTCCTCGCATCAGATGCTGGCTTGCCATTACAGATTTTTTAAAATACGTTGAGTAGTGTTTTGTTTTTATTGTGAAATGGGTCCATGTCTAGTTTCATCTGACAGTTAATCTTCTTATGCAATATGGAACTGTAGGCTTTTGTTTTGGTGGCTGGTCTTTGAGAGAAGACCCAAATCACCCCCACCTTTTGAAGTCCCATCCTAGTCGTTTGCAATAGCATTTTAGCAATACTTAGGAAAGAAGTGTTGCTTCGTTCTGATTGCTAAGCAAGTCCAGCCTGCTGTTTCACAGCACTTTTACCCAGTGGATGTGTCTGTGGTAGAATCCTACCACAGGCAGAACTCAGGTCATGCAGTTGAGCAGTGGAGTAGAATTCCACCTGCTGCTGAATTAGACAGGTAGACATGTTTAGTTTTTTTTTTTTTTTATTTGTTGCTGTAAGTAACAGTACCAATGCTCTCAAACAGCTCATTTCCACTTAGCAGTTCTACTAGCCTAATCTATCCTTTAGGAACCTCATATCTAGGCTTAAGTGACTGTGTGGAGAGGCATTCCTTTGCAGCTTTTCCCCCTGCACTTTAGGTATCTGCATTTGGGTAAATGCTTTAAGCTATGCTGTACTTCCACATTTAAACTTCTTTTAATGAACCACTGTGTTTGCTAAACCGCTGGTGGGTCACACACTGAGAGGGTTTGGACATTCCTGCAGCTGGCTGTCCTGACTGAAGCCGTGTGTGTTTTGTTTTAGAGAGCACAGCAATACGCCAGCGCCGCGTTGCAGGAGCAGTGCCGACCTTCTCACGCCAACAAAGAAATGAGCAGGTTATTTGCGGAGAAATACAACGCGGACGTGTCTCCCTTTGTAAGGAAAAATGTAAATGAAGATGAAGCTTTATTTAGATATGAGCCTCCGTTTGGATTTCGCAAGTTTGTTGATAAGCTTAAAAACCTTCTCGAACTCTTACCTGAGCATGATTTACCAGAAGATTTGAAGTCAAAGCACTGTAAGCGTTGTGTTGTTGTTGGCAGTGGTGGAATTCTTCATGGATCAGAGCTGGGTCACTTACTGAATCAGTTTGATATTGTTATAAGGTACATATTTTCCATTTAAGGATTCCAACTACTTCAACATTACTATATGAGCCAACTTTTTTTTTTTTTTTCATTTTAAGAGAAGCCAACATTTATGGAACTTGTAGGACTTTGTGAAAGTGCTTTTGATAAATTTGACTTGTGACTTGATGGAATTTGAAGTCTTAGGAGCAAAGTAAATTGTCATGTTCAGAAGATGGGATTTCAATGTAATTATTTGTGAACTTCAGATACAAAAAAACCCCCATGGGTGGAAATGAGATAGAAAGCAGCGAAATGAGAGACAAGTAGACAGTTATGATTTTATCCATTCATATATTTAGGCTTTCAGAGGACTCACCTCTGATTTTTTTTTTTCCCCCTTGTCTAGTTGGGATCCTTATTTGAATGGTTTTTTTATAACATCTATTTCAAACACATTAAAATTAATTGGTGTTTCAGTATACAGTTTGCTTATGCACTTTATAGCACACTTACCTTCCCTGATCTTTGCAAGGTCAGCACAAGCTTTCTGTGATTGCCCATGTTTTCTAACATCTGGCTTATCTGCTCTGTATTTGTGCCTCCTGAATGTTGCTCTTTGAACTCTCCTTCTTGTTTTTAATCACGTAAGGTCACAAATAAATTTGATACCAGCAGTTTCCAAACTTGTTTTGTAAACTACGGCTTGCTCCTCATATAAAGGGAAGGTTTCATTGAGTCAGTAGCTCTTATACAAAGGTAAACAAACCTGCTAGCCTGAGCAGGGGCAGAGAACTTGTGTTAGCTGTGCTCTGAGATCAGGGCTGTCAGTGTGAAGGTGGTGATACAGAAAAGTGCAGGAATTACGCTGTTCTGCAGAACTGATGGAGTGTGATGATGTTGTTCTTGTCAGCAGGGTGCCAGCATTTAAATATTTGGTGAGCTGGAATGATATAAACCCATAGGATGCATTACATTGCATTGCAGGGATAATTTGAATGCTTTTCTGTGTGGAATACTCACGTGAGTTTGTGTGTACATGTGTGTATATATATATATCTGAAAAGGATAACACAGGCAAGTTTCTGTGTGTTTTCTTCCCCTTCCTCTTTTAAGCCTCATGAGTTGACACAAGTCAATAGACAGGAACTTCTTCAATGCTGTTTTAAGTTACTTTTCTGTTCAATTTTTTCAAAGTTTTGCACTTGTGCCAAAGAAAAAGACTTGGCTTCCTCCCAAAGATAAGGGCAGGATGAGTGTGCCAGATGAGGAACACGGAGGTTCTGAGAAAACACTGTACTGTGTTTTGTTAAAAATCTGTGGGCTAAATAACAAGTTTTTGCTTAGTGTCTGATGTTTTAATGAGATTATAACCTGTGTTTATTAAATATAATTTATCACTATTGTGTTTTTTTTCCACTAGGTTAAATGATGCACCAGTTCAAGGATACACAGATCACGTGGGTAACAAAACGACTATAAGGATGACTTACCCAGAAGGAGCCCCCCTTTCTGAACAGGAGTATCCTCCTTCGAGCTTGTTTGTGGCTGTTTTGTTTAAAAGTGTTGATTTCAATTGGCTTCAAGCAATGGTGAAAAATGAAACCTTGGTACGTAATGTGACAGTTTTGTGTACCTGTATTTTTGTTTGTTTTCTCTTCCAGTGCTTAAGGAGCTGATTCATACGTTAGTTCCTGTTTTATTGTGCTGAGGATCTTTTATATAATTTTGGGGGATTTTTTTTTAGATCTGTCTCCTAGTTACAGTTGGGCCAGCATTCACATTGCAGCCCCATGCTGACAGCAACACTTCTTTTTTTTTCTGCAGATATTGGTGGTTGGCACCAAGCTATGACAGACTGTTTAGTAAAGTGGAATTCATTTCACATTAGGTTTGAGTGACTTATTTAAGGCTGTAGAGCCCAAAATAAAAATGAGATTTCTGAATGCCAACCCATTTTTTTTTAACTAAAAACATTTTTTTTAACTAAAGCCTGTGCTGCTACAACAGGCATACATGCAGTTAACGCATGATTGAACATTGACTGTAGTTCTAAAATGATGAGGCTGCTTATTTCTCGAACTGAATATTTAAAGAAGTGCAGAGATTCCCTAAGGAACTGATAGGAAGGGTTTCATGTTTCCAGATTAACTTTGAATTGGTGGCTTCCACCTCTTCCAATTTGCAGGCAGGTAATTTCTGCAAGTTGAAAACTGGTAGCTGGGTTTCTCTGACCACAGATTGAAAAACAAACACTCTGAATTACTGAGAGAGATTTAGGAGAAAGCCTGCCAAGTTTTTTAACTGTTTGATCTATGCTAGTTTAGGCACTCCAAATTCCCTTCTTAATTCTGTGATTTTTACAATATGGGATCATATGGAAGGTGTGTTTAGTGTTGACCATGGCTGTCTACTACTACTCCTTTAGTCCAGGGATTGTGTGTGAGGATATCACCTTGTTTTCAAAAATCTGAGCATGTTTTCCAGAGAGGAGATTTTCCTGAATCCATGAATTTGTGCAAATTGAAGAACAACTTCTTCCTGGTTTTTTTTTGTTTGTTTGTTTGTTGTTGTTTGTTTGTTTGTTTTGTGGGGCTTAAGTTTTTTGTTTTTTTTTCTGGATGCAAGGCAGTGTTGGTCTGTGACCTTCCCTGCAGCAGTGTGGTAATTTTGATGACCAGCAGCTTTGTAACTTGAGTTGGATTCCTAACTATCTTGTTTTACAAGCTGTCTAGTTGTTTCATGTTTTAAGGTTTGGTCTTGAAGAATGACTAGTACAAGGCTGGCTTTCTGTATTATAATTTGTTGGGGGGATTGATAGAATGATTGTTTTGGGGCATCTGCAGCATCCTCGGTTAGCGAGTTACGTGATAGGAGTGTGTGCTTTTTGCAAAGAGTACCTGTACTTGTTTTGTGTGGTTAGGAGCAGATCAGCTCATTCCCACATTCTTCCTTGCTTTGCTGTTTTTGCTGATGCAGAGCCAGCAGTTGATCTGGGAATGGGCATAGGGGAGAGGGTCCACTGAAGATCCACAGGGATGCTTAAGGGACTGGAGCATCTGCACTGTGACTTACAGAGCTGGGACTGTTTAGCCTAGAGAAGAGAAGGCTCATAACTTGTTAAAGTACATAAATATCTGAGGGAAGGGTGTGAGGAGGATGGAGCCAGGCCCTTTTCACTGATGTCCAGTGATAGGACAAGAGGCAATGGGCGCAAGCTGGAACACTGGAAGGTTCCTCTGAACACCAGGAAGCACTTTTATTTTTTAACTTTTTTTTTTTTTTTTAACCTTAATGAAGGTGACTGAGCACAGGCACAGGTTGTCCAGGGAGCTTGTGGAATATCTGTGAATATCTGTGGATATCTTCCTCAAAAGTCATCCAGATGCAGTCCTGAGCATCTGGCTCGGGGTGTTCTGCTTGATCTCCAACTTCAGTGGCTCTGGGATTTTGTGAACAGCAAATATACTTCTTTCAAATCCTCACCTTTCAATTGGCTCAGCTTTCTGTGCAGGCACTGGTACTGCAGTAAACCGATTCAGATTAAGGGTGGAAAGATGGGGAACCATTACAACCTGTATTTGATCAGTTTAAGCTTCTGCTGCTTAAAGCCTGTTTAAAAAAGCTATAGGTCAGTGTTGCAGCTGTATCAGTTTTGTCACTTGCCTTATGTTACCCATTTTATGGAGTTGTAAAATGAGTGTGCTGTAGTATTCTGTCTTCCATTAGTGGGCATCTAATTGACTGCAATGGCATGAGATCACAATTTGGCTTTCTGAGTCCTGTGTAAATCCTCTTCTAGTTACATTTATCACTAGGTGGATGCTGTCAAACAGCAGCTCTTCGCTTCAAAGCCTGAGCGCAATTGTTTTAAATCCAGTGCTTTCTTCAGAATGCCTGGTTAATCTTTGTGGAAAACTGTGGTTCCCTTCCTCATTTCTTTAAATGCTGCTGAGCTGCTCAGTTATGCTGGGGAGGGCCTGAAGAACCTGGGGGTGCTGGTGGATATGTTGACTGATTAACTCAAAGTGCAGCCAAATATTCAGAATTAACAACTTTTCCCTCTCCTGTCTTCCCTGCAATTCCAAATACTTTGAAGTTTTTCCTCTTTTGGGTCGGTCACTTGGGCTGTACACTGGTATTCTTGAACCACCTTGGTCATAAACTGTTTCCTGAATTTTTCACAGTCACTGGTGAATTCTGTAACTTGTGTTTGTTACTTAGTTTGCCTCAGAGTTTCCCTTTGAACTGTATTTTTTTATTTCCTTTTAGCCTCTGTGGGTGCGACTCTTCTTTTGGAGGGAGGTTGCTGAGAAAATTCCTTTTACATCAAAGCAGTTCCGGATTCTAAATCCAGTCATTATCAAAGAGACAGCTTTGGACATTTTACAGTTCCCTGAGCCTCGATCAAAGTTCTGGGGTTGGGATAAGGTAAGAGGTTTCCTTTCACCAGGAGGAGACAGTAAAATGCAAGGTGAATAAAACAGTGCAGTTTCAGAGCTGGCCTCAGCTAATAGGTAAATTATGTGCTCTCAAGAGACTCTTGTATTTTCTCGTGCAAAATCAAAGTAAGATTTCAGCTCACCTTTTCAGATGAGGTATTATGGCTGTGCCTGCTGACATGAGATGACATTGAGATGCTGTGAGACATAAATTCACTGCAGTGGAGTGTGTTCACTCACACATATTTGTGACTGGTGTGAGATGCTCAAAAGCACACGTCTGATACATGCTAAATGTGTTAGGAACAGCCCCGTTAAGCCAAACCAGCCATCAGCTGTGGACAGATGTGTCTCCAGCTGCAGAGAGAGTCTGGAAACCAGGCAGCCTTGCAGCTGTTGGAAATGCAGTGTGTGCCAGAGTGCTCAGTAGCAACTGATTGGCATATTCTCCCTCCATGTGCTTTGCTCCTGCAGAAGTACAGAGTGATGGATTGCCCGGCTTAACTACACACCGCATTTTGGTTATTTTAATTACGTGTTGGAGGAGTTGGTTGTCACTAGTTCCCTTGAACTATGTGAGAAGACATTTAATGTTAACATTACACAAATCTTTGAAGGTCTTCTTATGTTATTCTGATAAATAAATGTAACTTACCAAGCTGTGTAGCTTAGTTGTATCATAGTATATTTGCCTTCTTCACAGGTCGTTCAGTGAAAAGTATTCTGAAGAATACTGTTTGTTAGAGAGCCTGTTGTTGCTCAAGACTGAAATAAGTGTAACTCAAGAAATGTCAAGTTTAACTGCATGTCAGGAGTTGTTTGAGTGTTTGGAGCAAGAGTTCACTTGCAGTTTAACTACACAGTAAGAGGACATCTTATCTTCACAGAAAAAAAATTTGGTGTTGGCAGCCAAAAGCCTCATTAAAGGCAAATAGTCAGGTTGTATTGGTATTTTGCCGTGGAGTATTTAGCTTTACTGGATCATTGAATTGATTTTTAGTTTCAGTTTTAATGATTAATTGATTTCAGTTTTAAATGATTAGAGGGAATAGACAAAGACATTAAATTAAGTGTTTTATAAAAACTGTCAAAGGACTGCATGTTCGAATTGAGCCAATTTCCCTTCCCCCCCCTTTCTCAGAACGTACCTACAATCGGGGTCACAGCGGTTGTTCTGGCCACGCATCTGTGTGATGAAGTGAGCATAGCAGGGTTTGGATACGACCTGGACCAGCCCAGCACACCCTTGCACTATTACAACAACCTCTGCATGGCTGCCATGAACGGACAAACTATGCACAACGTGACAAGCGAAACAAAACTCCTGCAAAAACTGATCAAAGAAAAAGTCGTCAAAGACCTCACTGGGGGGATACACTGTGAGTTCTGCAGCAAAGACAGCTAGTGACTGACGTGCAGCATGGACAGGATTCATTAAGTCTCCAGAGGTTCAGCTGGATCAACCCTTTTGCAATCTTTATTCCTTTAAAGTGTATATAAAATGGACATGGAATCCCTGCTGCCTTTTTTAATGTCACGTTCGGTTTGTTGGACTTTGTAAATTAATTCCGTCAGATTTTACTTTGCACACTTTTGTGAATAGCTATGTAAATAGGGCTTGGAGTTGAAAGAGATGTGTTTAAAGTATTTAAAATGTTTTAAGTTGTCTGAATAAAAGCAGATATTTTGTTTTCAGATGTATATGGAACGCACATCGCTGGCCTGAATTGTCTGACAGCTTACAGGTGTTGTTTTCCACTGAACTCCTGTCTTTGTTGTTCCAGTTCTCGGTGTCTGACTCCTTTTTGTGCATACCATGAAAAGAAAGGTGTGTGCCTCTCAAGTCTTTCATTACTTGAACTTGAGCATTGTGTTCCCCCCCTCAAATATTTATATTCTTTTGGTTTTATGCTGTTAAATTTTTTGGTGCGAAGGAGAAATGCGGGAGCGGAGTTGAATGAAAAGGAATTGTTGTGGCAACAACTGAGTAGTGAGTACCTTGATGTTCGTGATTGATGTTAAAATCATTGATGTATTAATGTATTGGGTTAGAATCCTACCCCAATTAAAGAAGTGGCATTAATACAAAATCTGCCCTTTTTTTTTTTTTTTTTAATTTTGAGTGACTTGAGGATTGCTGGTTCTGTAAAACACCAGTTTGTAGGAATTACTTAGCAATAATAGAATCCTCACCTTAATAGTTTGCAATGCTGATAACCCTTATAAACTCTAGTGCTGGCTGTTTGATTGAAGGGGGAGGTAGAGTTGTTGGTCTTCTATGAACTTTTAAGTCAGCAATTGGGTGATTGTGTATTAGTTAACAAGAAAATCACTTTGAGAAAGCAGTATAATGTAGTAACAAGCTAGATAACTGCTGAAAACAGCACATTTAAAAAGGAAAGAGAAGAAAGGTACAGATACATGTTCTTGTGAATGGAAATCAGTCCTCTGCAAAGACACTGGGCTGTGCAGATCTGGAAGCAAGTTTTGGTGTTCATTTTTATTTTGTTACTAGTAGAGTATTAGATGTGACTGTTTGCACTGACTCATGTTGTTGCTTAATCTGCGGTATGTGAAAGAGGCTTTCTTTGGAAGTGAAAGCTGTTTAGCAAATGGATCAAAGCTTGGCCTAGAAACTTTGTTCATAGTCATGGACTCTTCCCATGGTGAACGTTCCCACTTTTTTTTTTTTTTTTTTTTTTTTTTTTTTTTTTTTTTTTTTTTT